AATCCAACAACATTCTAGCAGCTCAAGGCTGCTTCCTCAAATGAGTATTAAGGCAACCCACCATTTGAAAACTACGTAATAGGCAACCATTTGACAATGTTCATGCAACAATTGCAAAATCTCAAAAACTAGAAATAAAGGGAATGACCACAGTATAAAGGTCACCTAGAAAAGTACAATTAAAATGATGACAAAAGATCAAATGAGTGGTTAGGGCACTTACCTTGCACATGGCCCATCGCAGTACCCCATTGGTCCCCCAAACCCACCAAAAGTGATCCCTGAGCAGTTAGTGCTATGTCCTGAGTACAGTTGGGGTGCCAACCCTTCCCCCCCAAAAAAAAATCCCAAATGATTTTCCCTTAGTATTGGTAACAAGGCAATAATGCAACTCTTCTAACCACTTTCACCATCGCTCTGAAAAGATCTTATCAGTGCAACATAAAAGAAAAAGGCACTGAAAAGAAAAGCCAAAAACACCATAAAGAAATAAATATCTATTATAAACTGCAGACAACCCGATAAAGTAGAAAACTCAAAGACCTACATGAGTGAATTTCGCAAAGATAAAAGATCAACTGATAAAAATCAGTCCTTAGATTAGCAACATCTGGAAATTGAAGGTGTGGGTTTTTTTTGGGGGGGCGGGGTTTGGTTTTGGGTCACACCCACTATGCTTAGGGTTTACTCCTGACAGGCTCAGGAGACCATATGGGATGCCAGGATGGTGCCTGGGCCAACCACATGCAAGAAAAACACCCTATCTGTTTTATGAGAATTTTGGCGATTTAAATGTTTAAAGTACTATTACAACAGCTCACACACACACACACACACACACACACACACACACACAATCACTGTATGTGCATGTTTTGTATCAAATATCAAAAACTCTGATAAAGATAAAAAACAAATGATGCAATATGCTGCATCCATGGACTGGATGGCAAGTACTAAGATGTCATGCTGAGTAGGTCTACAGAATTGATGTGATTGGCACTGAAATTCAAATGCATGTTTTTGTCCTTGTCAACAAGTTGATTATAGACATGGAAAGATAAGGAAACTAAATCAGCAAAATAATTTTGCAAATAGGGTTACTACTAATGCATGTAAAATACTACTTATGTATTGTCACTTTATATGCATATTGAGACATTTGCTCGAGTTCAAAAATACTGTTAAACTGATTTTCAATGAAGAAAAAAAACTCAATGACAAGTAATTTTTATTGTAGATCATAAAAACCAAGAAATCACTCACCTCATTCTTAAATCTAAAAGTCACCGTGAGTTAGGCAATTTCTTAAACTTGACATCAGAAATATAATCCATTAAAGAAAAAGTTGATAAAATGAACTTTGAGAATTAAGAATGTTCATCAGAAAGCTGGTAACAATGAAAAGGCAAACCCCAGACTAGGAGAAAGCATAGAACCTGTGTCTGATAAAGGTCCTGTATATTCAGATGATAAATGATATCTGACTACAAATGTGAAAAAGTTTACCATCTTTTACATTTTCAAATTAAAACATGGGATTGGGAGTTTTGTTTCTAAGTGTCAATCAATTGGGGTACCTGCATATACTTGTGATATAATGTTCACTTCTGAAAGGCACCTGACACTTGTATGAAATCTTAATGCCCATATCCTTTAACACAGTATTATCTCAAGGTATGCATCCTAAAATTCTCACTTCAAGACTGATGAGTTCGTAATTCCAATAGGTCTACTTGCAGAAATGAAAACAAACCAGTTTGACAAAAGGTAATAGTTAAATAATAGATTGTCTATAAATATGAGGCTAATTAGACAAGGAACACTTGCTTGCTTACAAAGAGTATCTGATATGGAGACTCTTTAAGATCTGTTAAGTGCATTAAACTATACAAGACTTTATTTTCTATAATAAAAATTACTTATTCAGTAAATGCATATAGTTTCCTCTGCCTAAAGATTTTCTTGTGGGGTACTTTATGTTCCTTTTTAAGTTCACCACATTTTTAAGGTTCTCCTATCCCCGTTCCAATTAAACTGGAGTAAAGATGCAATATCCTTGTAGAGGAAAAGAGAAACCTAAGCAGGCATAAGAAATTCATTCTACAATAAATGGGGGCACAGTTGAATAATCTGTTTGAAAAGGCAGATACTTTTGATGTAATCATGACTTGTTTTTTGCTTCTTCCCGCTCAGGTAAGCCCTACACTGACATTAATAGTTTGCCTGAGATTTCCTTTCTTTACTGAACCCTGAAGCCCTCCAGGCTTTATTAGTGGTTTTAGTTGACAGAAACATTTTGCACTTTACCTTAATGTGGTACCTGATACAGATTCTAATCGTGAGTCTAAATAGTATAGAAACTGAGCCTGTTGGTTAAGCAGTCTCAAAATTACCTTGTAAATGCTTTTCAACTTGGCTATTGCCACCTAGTGGAAAAATTGTCAAAAATAGTTGTTGCTCACCTTTCAGCTAGTACCTAACAGTAAAATGGGAATTTTTTAAAAGGCCAGAATGGGAATTCTTTGAAAGGCAAGACTAGTGGCGGGTGGGGCTGGAGCGACAGCACAGCGTGTAGGACATTTGCCTTGCACGCGGCCAACCCGGGTTCGATTCCCAGCATCCCATATGGTCCCCTGAGCACCGACAGGGGTAATTCCTGAGCGCAGAGCCAGGAGTGACCCCTGTGCATTGCCGGGTGTGACTCAAAAAAGCAAAAAAAAAAAAAAAAAAAAAAAAAAAAAAAAAAAAAAAAAGACTAGTGGCTGGAGCGATAGCACAAGGGGTAGGGCATTTGCCTTGCACGAGGCTGACTGGGATTCAATTCCCAGCATCCCATATGGTTCCCCAAGCACCGCCAGGAGTAATTCCTGAGTGCATGAGCCAGGAGTAACCCCTGTGCATTGCCGCGTGACCTAAAAAAAAAAAAAAAAAAAAAAAAAAAAAGGCAATACTAGCTTTATTAAACCAAATTATTTTTGTTCGCCAAATTCAAAATGGGCAGAGTCTGGCAAACTCCCTGTGGCGTACCCAATATGCCAAATACCAGTAACTATGATGGGTCTCATTCCCCTAAAGAGCCTTGAATATAACCTCAGGGCTAGGATGAAGGAGACATTACTGGGGCCTGCTCGAGGTAATCGACGATAACAGGATGATTTGTGGTTTGTGCCTTCTCACAGGCACTGTGCTGATAGCCCATGTACTTTAAAAAAGCCGCTGAAATCTCATCGTAAAGTAACTATTAATAATGCTTTTGTTTTCCCCAGAACCATACATATACTCTATCACTGAGCCTCATATTTTTTTTGAAAGCATATTAGATCCATCTCCAAGCCATTTGGGGTAAAAGTGTGCTTTTTAAAACAAATTGAACTTTTAATTTCAACCTTGATGAAGCAAATACATATGGCTTAGATGATCACCTAGATTTAAAAAAAAAAACTAAAACAGATTCAATTCAATATCACCCACCTCCAGCTGAATTTGCATATGGTAATGGAGAAATACTGCAGCAACATTCCCATGAAAGGTAGGGTTTAAATTTTAGTAAAAATGCTTGTATTAGTACTGTTTCCCACAATTCTCACACTTCAGCTTAAATTCCCCATTTAACTCGAAAAAGGCTGCCCCCCCCCAAATTTGTTTCCACTTTTTAAAGAATAAGTTTATTTTTATTTTGAAGTTTCTGGATCACAGCCATTAATGCTCAAAGCGTTACTCCTGGCTTCACACTCAGGAATTACTCCTGGCAGTGTTGGGGTATCGTATGGGATGCTGGAGATCAAACCTAGGTCAGCTGCATGCAAGGCAAATGCCATACCAACTGTACTATCATTCCGGCCCCAGAACTAATAGGTTTTAAGAAGCAGTTTAGCGCCCAGTAGTGGTTATATGAATGTGTTTATATAGATTTAGAAAGTTATTACTATTGCCCAGCCACTAAAGGACAACTGAAATTTCTTCCTGCCATTTTTTTAAAAAGGCTAAGACGATGGTTGGAATATGCATATGTTCATAGGTGGCAAGTGGATAGGAAATACAAGCAACTTGACAAGACTAAGTTTATTCTAAGTATAACTTTTATTAATAAAAAGATTAACCATGATCATATATATGTGTGTATATATATATATGAGTGGCTGGGCTTATAGTTTACTACACCAGAAATTAAAACTGATACTTGAGATTATTGTTACAATAATTTATAATAGCATTCCTTGACAAAGGCATTTTAGTTTTAGCAATGTTTCTCTTAAATATAAAAACTAACCCTTAGTGTCATGGATGAGAATCATAGCTATTTGTAAATTTTAAAATGCATTTCCAAGAGCTATCTGGTAGTGTTATCTTATGATCTACATCCAAATTTTTGGGTAACAACTTCCCGAAAGATCTCTGGAAAGGTTTCAGATCAGAGACAGTATCAATAGAGATACAAAGATCAAGTATCACTAATCAAGTGTGCAGAATAAATAACACAAACTATGAATGAATGCACTTAAGATCCCCAAATAAATGTTATGATCAGGCATATAATCGATGTGTTAAATACAAATTCAAGTTTGTTGAGTCCAAAAGATACAGTAATTTTATTACATAAAACTTGTCCCGTGTGCTAAAAATGTCAACTTATAAGACATAAGTGTAGAGGGAAATTGCTTAATCATTTTTCATTGATAAGAATAAAACAAAAGCAGTGGGCATGTAAAACCACTCAGTCCTCTGAAATTCAAAGTCATATTACTCTTCAACCAAAAACATACTACCATTCCTTAAGGATTTAAATACCTACTCAGCTTCTCTTAAAAATAAAGTCCTTTTTTTCTCCATTAAAGCTTCTTTAAGACTGACAAAGGTACATTCAACCTATTAAAAATAGGGACAATCTTCATCTTTGGATAAAGTCTCATCACTTCAGAGAATGTTGTCACGTACAGATCACTAAGTTTATGTTTGAGGCAGCTGTTGTGAGTCCATTAAGCACTTTCCGAACACTGTACCTTTAAAGTTGTCTTTAATAATAGCTTTGGAAAATCAAAATAGAAGACATCTATGGCAAAAGTACAATTTCATTGATTTGTTAGCATTAAAATACTCCCCAAAAGATATTTAGTGCAGTGTCAGTTTTAAATACGTAAATAACTTGAGGTTAGTTTTATGTTATGATTAAATAACAAAAAGTTTTAACTTGTTAAGAAAAAGATCTTTTAAGTCTTCGACTTAGTAATATCAGTAAGGCAAAATAAAATTAAGCACTGTAAAAAAAAATCTTTAAAAACGAAGTCCTATAAATTTGACTCCCATTTACAACAATTCTGTCAACAGATGAGTTAAGTGTAGATACATCGTATCTAACACCCTCTTAGCTAGTTAAAAAAAAAATCTAGTAGCATTTAGATCCTGAAATCTTTAGTAATACCAACATAATATTTTCAAAACATGTTCATACAGAACCAATACTTTTCCGTCTTAATGTAAAAGAACACTTTTAAAAAAGTAACAAAAATACCAATAAACAATGGAACCTCATTTCACTGCGCCCAAAAGCATAACACAAAATATTGGCTTAAAAGAGGTAGATTAAAAAAGAAAAAGAAAACCAGATTCTCCATTCTTTGTCACTTTTATTCAGTAGTAGTTTTTTTTCCTTATTTTCAGTGCCAGACATGGCGAGGAGTGATTACAGCCAACTGTTATTAAAACATTTGTTCGCAACATATACCCCCTTTACCACTGACCCCAGACTGACTCATTTGTGTGCTTTCGTTCGTTCTTTTTAATATTACCACCACCAAGACTGGGTGGAGGGGGACAGGGGTAAGAGAGATGGAAGAGGGAAGAGTCCAGGAGGCCAGAAGAGGAGGAATGCTACAAGCCACAGTAAGAATGAGCTGTATTTAATTTAAAAAAGGGGGAAGGGGTGTACCCCACAAATGATACAGTAATGAGGATACACAATTAAATCCCATAAGCATGACTGAAGGCTGTCACTGTGTTTGACGTCATCACAATGGAAGGCATAAAAAGTGGAGTAAATCAATGTTGATACAGTCCAATCTAGTCCATTAGGCAAGATGGTGCAGGAAGTCATTTAAATTAAAAGTGCCCTACCCTTACCTAGATGGCTAGCAGACATGGAGAACACCAGTGAGGAATCCACAGAGCTTTCTCCATGTAGCTATAAAAATATGTTGTCGAATGGCACATTGTCAAACACTGGAAAGGGGCGCCACAATGGACCTCTCTCTTTTTTAGGTACGAATGCTAGATTCAACTATCTCAACTAAGCAGGAAGTGGGCTCTTCTGCTAGGAATGCCAACCCTAATTCACTTTGTCTTGAAATATATACAGATTGTTTGTAGTAGCTACAGCAATGATATTTTCCTTGGGGTGCCAGGCCGTGTGAAGTATTTTCTTGTTGAAGTCTAGGCTGTCAACACTTATTTCATCTTTCTTTCGCTTGCCACTTGCACAGACTTTGCGTGGCTTCAGAACCGTGCGAGGTTTATTGTTTTCCCGTGATGCTTCTAGGGTTATGTCTCGCTTTGTGTTCCTGTCGAACATTCTGAAGAAATTATTGTAAGATCCAGTCATGACAACACTGTGAAAGAAGACAGAATGTGCAATTAAAATGAGTGAACAGGTTTATTTCTTAATAAAAGAATAAAGTGATAAAATTTTTTTTTCCTTTTTGGGTCATACCCAGCGATGCTCAGGGGTTACTTCTGGCTCTGCGCTCAGAAATTATTTCTGGTGATACTTGGGGGACCACACAAGATGCCGAGGATCGAACCCAGGTTGGCCGCAAGCAAGGCAAATGCCCTCCCCGATGTACTATTGCTCCGGCCCCCCAGTGATGAAATGTTGGAACCAGAATAGCAGATTTAAAAAACAAGAGTATAGGGAGACAATATAGTAGGTAACGCACTTTCCTTGGACCTGGGTTTGGTCCCCTGAACACTGCAAGGAGTGATTCCTGAGTGCAGATCCAAGAGTAACAACCCCTGTGTATCACCGGAATAACTCCCAAGCCCTCCAAAAGAAAAATAAAGTTACGGGGCTAGAGAGATAATAATTATCAGTTAAAAAAGTTTAAAGGGCCAGAGTGATAGTGGCCAACTGGGTTTGACTTTCCTGTCAGTTCTACTTATTATCACTGCTTAATGTTTACCAAGTATCCTAACAAAGGAAACTAGGTAGTTTGTAGACTGAAGCAATTAATTTTAGAAATGCTTGCAGAATGGGAAACTAGTACAAAGGGCTAAAGTGACAGTTTGCATATGAGAGCCCTAGGTTCAGTCCCCATACTACCTTGAAGGACCCCAGGAGTAGTAGAACCTCCTGAGCATGGTGAGGTGTAGCCCCAAAACGAAGAAAAAGAGAACACTTGCTTACTCCTACCCTGCCTAGGTTTACCGTGGTCAAATAATTACTGGCTTTATATCAAATAGAGCCCTACCTGCTGTGCTATCACTCCAGCCCCCATCATGCTTATATGGAATTTTTTACATTTTTATGTACATTGTAAATGAAATACAATCTTTACTTTTTACTGGTCTACAATGTTCTTAAGATAACTCTGTATTTCAAGGAAACAAGTTTTTCAAAATAACACTAAGATTTACAATTTATATCAATCTATTTTTGGTGAAGGTGGCAACCATTCAGAGTGAAATTGCAAATTTCTTTCCTTTAGCAAAATTCACATTTGAATGAGGTTCAAATTTAAATCAATTACCTGTCAGATCCATTCCAACAACATTCAAATTTGTCAAATATGCAGTCATTTTCATACAGTGAACAAAGTTTACTTCTGAGGTATTCATGTACCTAGGGAAATAGACACATATCTTTTACCTCAAGACCTATTGGCTGAAATTAGGAAAATTAGTAAGTCTATTAAAAAAGCAGGGGGATATCGGGGATAGGAGAGATTTGTTATTATTAAATCAGATTGACAGTAAATAACAATTTAAACTGCAAAACTAAATAGACAGTACACCTATAAAAGTACACATAAAGCTAAACATAACGAAAAGCAATGTATTAAGTGAACTAACATCATAGTGGAATGAACACAGTATCAAATCCTTCTCTATAAATAAATAGTGTACATAGGTTGTTGAAAGGAAAAACTGAAAATACCTGATATGTTTCCACAGGCCTGTTTTCCATATTTAAGTCCCAAATTTTGACTGACAAATAGTCTCTAGTCATCATATATCGACCACTATGGCTGAACTTTACATCAGAAATAGAGGAGATGATTTCAGAAAAAAAAGACCTGTTACTTGGATCTTCTGGTTCTTCAAACACTAAAAACAAGAAAAAAAGAGGGGGGAGGGGGGAGAGAATAATTTGCAAAATATTCTGGCTATGGCAAAGCATTTGACCAATGCTGAGAACCATTCACAACTTAAGAGTAAACTAAAAGTCAGAGGCTAATAAAGAACTGAAAACCATCTCTCTATGCAACAAAACAATTTTACAGGCTGGCGATGCCTAAGAATGTCCTATTGAAACTTAGCCAATTTTAGTGCATCATTTTTAGATTTTGCACATACCTTAATGACTAGCCCACACTGGCACCACAAGAAACACATATCCTCAGTATCCAAATTCATAATAGCATTTAACATTTGGTGCCCACCTAAAATTATTTTTGCCAATAGGCATGTTCCAATTTTCATGACTTTAAACAGAAGGAAGAAAAGAGGGATGGAGGGAAGGAGAGAAGGAGGAAAAGTACAAGCTGCTCTACTTACATACCATGGCTGAAGAGGCCAACTGTCCAAAAGTGGCCTATTAAAATTACACCCACTGATCCATACACATACCACGATCACCTGCCATGGCCATCACCATCACCCCTATACCCTTCTGTTTTTTGCAACAGAGCATTCTATCATATTTAGTATGTGGAGTGAGGCAGCTAACCAAATATAGAAGGAGCTGGGCAGACTGGCTCATGACTTAAAAAACACGTGTAATTGTTGCTAAAATATTTAAAACTAGTTTTAGACAAAGTGTTTTTATTATCTTTTTTAAAAAAAGTACTCAACTTACGTTTAGAATGCCTGTCACAGAGGGCAGAGGCCCTCATGTCACATAACCGAATCGTTCCTTTACTGCTGCTGTATACGAATGTGTTACAGCTGTTCGGATGGAATTCTGCCGCTGTGATCACTTCTGTTAGCTCTTCCATATTGGCAGGCTTAATGTCCACAATATCTAGATAGCATTTTATTAAGGAATTTCCACTTACAAAAAAACAAAAATAATTGTACATTTCTCAGATCTAAAATTCACTCCTAGAGTACCTAGGATAGAAAAGGGATCAGTATGACAGTAATAGCTGGAAATGATGGCTCTGGAAAAGAACTGAGTGTTGAAAGTAAAGGGAAATATAGAAGCTTTCACGATCTGTATAGCAAACCATAATGCCCAAAGGGGGAAGAGTAGGGAGGGAAGAGGGGAGGAGATGGGGAGGGAGAGGGAGAGAGAGGGAGGATATGGGAGGGAAACTGGGCACTCGTGGAGGGATGGATGTTAGAATACTGTATGACGGAAATTAATCATGAACAGCTTTCTAAAGGGTCTATCTCACAGTGATTCAATAAAAAACTTATTTTTTATTTTTTATTCAATTAAAAAAAACACTGTGAGATAGACCCTTTAGAAAGAGAGGGACAGACACAGAAAGACTGCACTCATCTGGAGAATATAAAGTGACAGAATGGGAGTCGAGCACCCAAGAATAATTGAGATAAGTACCAGGAGGTCTGCTCCATGGCATGGAAGCCGGCAGCACATGCTAGGGGAAAAGGCAGCTCAGATAGAAGAGAACACCAAGTAAAGGATGTTTGGAGGACTCGCTTGGGATGCGTGCTGAAAGTAGACTATAAACCGAACACGAGGGCCACTCAATACCTCTATTGCAAACTACAACACCCTAAAGGAAAGAGTGAGCAAAAGGGAATGCCCTGCCACAGAGGCAAGGTGGGAGGGCTACTGGGATCACTGGTGGAAGGATGGATACTCGATCATTACATAACGGAAACCCAAGCACGAAGGTTTGCAAAGTCTACAACTGTTGTACCTCATGGTGTTTCATTAATAAAAATAAATAAAACGAAAAGAAAAATAAATAAATAAATAAATAAATAAATAAAAAAGGTTGATCACGTACTTATTTATCTTTTTAAAATTTTTAAATTTTATGCTCGTAAGTCTGTTCACATTAATTGATTACATGTACTTATCATTGTTAAAGCAAGGTAGATGGAAAATCATTGCACTATTCTTCAAATCGTGTGCATGTTTGAAATTTCCAGAGTAAAACAGTAAAATGAGAAAAAAAAATCTGTATTTTACCAATAGCCAAGTGGCTTTGGTGTAGGGAGGCTGCCTAATAAATCAGATCAATCAGAAGCAAATAAATAAAATTCACTCCTAGTATATATGTTTTGATTTTCAGTCTATACCACAGTAAATGTGGTATAAAAGAAATCATTATCAAGAAAAGAAATAAAATACACTAAGGAGAGAGGAAATAAATGCAATGTAGACATAACATGCCCCCGCCCTTGTTCTTGAGGCACAACCAGCAATGCTCAGGGCTTACTCCGGCCTCTGTGTTCAGGAGGCCAAATGTCGATGGCCATGTAGAGGGCAAGGTAAGTGCCTCATCCCCTATCCTATGTCTCCAGTCCCTACTCCAGGACTTCTTTACCAATAAATACCAAAGACATGAAATGGATACTAAAACTTCTGTCTGTAATTTCTAGGTGCCAAAGATTAATCCGCAAATCATCTGCAGATAAATATGTTTCATAATCACTATTAATAGAAATTGAATTGATGTGGTATGTGTGAGCATTGGCAAATATTCTTCGCGGACTGGCTTCAACCATTAGATCCATGGGCCTGAAGACCGGCACCTGAAAACAGGACACAAAAGAAGCAGTTAGTACAAAATGATCCTGTCTGCAACAGCAGTTTCAGTTCACTGCTCCAATTTTTGAAGGCAAACAGTGTAATATAATAAAGGTAAAGTTTTTAAAAGACAACTGATGCTTAATCTTTAAAAGTGCTGAAATGGGAAGAAAAATGAAAAAATGACCTGTAATAGATTGCAGCTGTTCCTAATTTCAATCAACTACTTGAAAGATGTGCAAAGCCAATGGATGCTAATAGTTTAAAGTGGCTAAGTAAGAAATTAACTCAGAGAACTCCATTCTTGGTACCTTTCTGCCACAGCTACAAAATCTGTTTCACTACTTTGCTCTCCTCCCAAATTGTGAAATTTAACCTTATAACAGTTGACATTCAAACTAAAGAAAGGTGTTTAACACCATATTAAACAATACTTTGCAGAATTTTGGTTCTGCCCAAAGGCACTCTGAAGATCTCTCTGAGGGGTACAGATTATAATTATTCCTAATTGTGTTTCTCTCAGTACTAGAATATACAATACAAATACAAAACGCTATGCACCAGAATTACGACTATTTCCCTACGTACTTACACGTAGTGTAGTAACTGTAGTAGGATCTCTATACCTTCCATCTTCTTCTTTCAAGTTATACCCTTCTGGTCTTTTGTCCCTTTCACTGATTTTCCATAATTTTATTGTTTTATCTGGAAAGAAAATGAAGTCATTTGAACGAACCATATAAGTCATGGGTGCTAGCTTACGAATAGAATTGGCCTTGCATACATGAGGATCTGGGTTCAATCCCCAACCCCAAGGGTGGGGGGAAAAAACATTTTAATTACATTTTAACATGCCATTTTATAGTTCACAGAAAAGGATCACAATGAAATTGCTTATAAAAGCAAAATTTCTTAACAGAACTTCAACTAAATTATTTCCTCTATCATTTATCAGTCATTTTAGTCTTAAAGAACAATGTTTAATTTTTAAAGGATAACAAGCAACATAATTCAGACATCCTATTATTTACAATAATGGTAAGGAGTAACTATTGAACGTGGTCCCCTACCTTCTAACAGATCCTAAAATCCAAATATTACTTGATTAATTTGGCTACCTCTGCTCGTCTATCTTTTCCTTGTATGCATTAGGAATCTGTAGTTACAGGCTGAAAAAGACTTGGTATTTATCTCCCAAGTTCTTAAGCCAAAATGTGTAGTTTTAAAATTTTATTTGTAAAAAAGTTTAGAGTTAGAGAAAAGTTGCAAAGACAGCGGTGTTTTCATATACCCATTACCCACTTTCTTTTAATGCAATCATATTTGCTAAAACTAGGAAACTGACATAAATTACTACTAAATCCTGCACTTTATTCAGATTTCAATAGGTGTTTCACTAATGCCCCCTTTGTGTTCTAGGATCCAAATAGCTCTGTATTTAGCGTTGTGAACAAATCTCCCAATTTGACTATCATAATACTGTTGTTATTTTCTTTTCACCCCAGTTTTTGGGTCCCACCAGGAATTACTCCAGGGAGTAATTGCTCGAGGGACCATATGGAGTACCAGGGGTGAACAAGTCAGGCATATGGAAGACAAGCACGTTCCCGGCAGGACTAGCTCTCCAACCCACAGCTGACCCTGCTTTGTGAGCCACTCCTCGGAGTTCTGAGAAGCAGCGGTGAAGTATTTGGTGGCCGGCCTCGCCACTGGCATTAAGGGATCAGATTGGGATCATGACATTTGAGGGGAATTTCAAAAGTGAATAAAGGTTTACATGATATGATAACTTTTCTCTGATTATGAGGGCAACTTGGATCATTTTAAGATAAAGTGCTATCTGCTATAATTACTAATCTCCCCCTTGCCATTCTTCGGAATTTAGCCACAATGTCCAGTTTTTACTGAAAGTGAGAATTAACCCCCTGCAGGGAACGCACTTAACATTTGTAATTCTCCTGTAAACAGAGTACCTTTCCCATATTTGATCAATCGTTTATTCACATCACTCAGGACAAAAACATATCTGTTCTGTATTTTTTTTCCCTAATTTTTTTTTGGGGGGGACCAAACGAACACCTTTTTGGGTAACATCCAACGATGCTCAAGGTCACTCTTGGCTCTGCACTCAGTAATTACTTTTAGCCATACTTGGGAGACTGTATGGGATGCTGGAGATTGAACCAGGCTTGCCACGTGCAAGACAAAGGCCCTACCCACTGTATTATTGCTCTGGCCTCCAGTATTTTGTATAACCCTAAAATGGCACTTAGAAAAAAAACATCACATTCTAAACAGCCTTCAGTAAGCTGTTTTAATAATTGTGAGTAGCACACAATTATTAAAAGAATTAAAGGCACATTATAAAATGTAAAATGTCACAATGAGCATGACGTCTCTGGTCTGAGAGAAAGCAGCCCCTGTGGATATATTTTGCAAAGATAAAACTAGCAAGACAGAAAACCCACTAATACTGATCTGTAATCTAGTACTTTTTGTATTACAAATCTAGTATTTGTAACCTAGTATTTGTAATTTAGAATTTCTAATGTTCTAGAAATTGGCCCTGTTAATTTACCATTCTTAATAGAGATCCAGATTTTCTAAAATGACAAAGTACTTATGAAGCTTTCAAGTGAGATAAGATAAAGATGGTCCTAACACTGTTACAGGGAAAAAACTCTGAAAAATAAATTGAAAATAAAAATCATTTAAGATGAGCCAAGCAACTGTATAGCAGGTAGGCACAGGCCCTGTATTTGGCCAAAAACAAACAAATTATTTAAAAATGGTTATAAATAATTATTCTTTTTCTTTAGTGGGGTACGGGGTGGGTAGATTGGATTTGGGGCCATATTTGGCAGTGCTCAGGACTTAATCCAGGATCTGTGTTCAGGAATCATTCTCGGTGGGTGCAGGGAACCATATGGCTCCCTGGGCATGGAGCCTAGGTTGGTTACTTGGATAGTCCAGTCCAAGGCGAGCACTGGACTATCACCTGGCCCCATATTCTTATGAGCTACAGAGTAACAATCTAAAGCTCTGGGCATGCAGGAGGATGTATATTATCAAATTCCACAGACCTGACACAAAATTATGTGACTATACTTTGCCGTGGAGGGAATCACTAAATTAGCAGAGCTCTGCTCAGTGTCATTTCCCCACTGTGGCCACAACTCAAGTCCCCAAATCCCTGTGCTCCTCTTGCCAAGAACCGCACAATTATTAATTATTTATTAATTATATTAATTAATTATGGGGAAAGCCATGTCACCAAGTTTCCTTTGTGAAAATACCGCTTTATATCAGATCTAAAAAGTTTCTGACAATAAATCCATGAAAATATAATTTTTTGTGAAATACATAGCTTTGTATTGTTCAGGACCCAACATTAACAGGTTTGATGCTTTTGAAATGTGGAATAGTAAAGTCAAGAGAAAGGAAAAGGAAAAACCTAAAGATTAAAAAGAGAAAAATCACTTAGATATTAAATGGATTAATATTAATGAAAAAGTTGATGAAAAGATAAAGCGGGTCAGTTGAAACTAGAAGGTTTACTGTTTCTACCATTTTTTCCACAGTATTAGGATCTAATCTTAGAACAGACCTAATCACATTTGGGTATTATGCTGCATCTTATAGAAAAGGCTATTGATTTAAGGATTTAACAAGTGTGGCTTTCCCCATAATTACCTCCTCTCTTTATAGACTTTCAGATTTAGCTTAAGTCCTACTTTTTCTCCTATCCCACCACAACCCAGACACAAGCTTAAAAAAAGTATTCCAGGGCCTGAACTGTTATTTCCATAGGTGAGGTGCTTACACTGTAAGTGGCAGACCCAAGTTTAATCCCCTATTTGGTCCCCTGAGTCTCTTCAGAAATGAGCCTTTGCATCACTGGTTGAGGCTCAAAAATATTAAATAAATAAAATTAAAAACAAACAAACAAACAAACAAATAACCCAAAACACCTTCCAGGCTAAGAAAATAGTAGGGCAGACAGTATGCTTGCATTGCATGCTGCGATCTGAGTTTGATCCCAAGCATTCACTATGCCCCTGAACCCTACCAGGACTAATTTCAGAGTACAGAGCCAGGAATAAGCCCTGAGCATCATAGGTTGTGGCCACCAAACACAAACAAACAAACAACAAAAAACACCTTTCCAGCCACAAGGCATGTGTTCTCACTAGGACAAGTGACAAGTAGAAAAAAATGCTCTCATAGGAAGGAACATACCCTTGACTGGAGACCATTTTTGAAAGAACAGTTATATTCTAAAAAGCTTTGCAGAATTTAGGCACATTGTAACAAAAAGGAGACGGAAGGATTAACATGTACTCAGCACTCAATATGTAATCACTCTCATCCACTTGATCTACCAGGAACATTCTATGCAGTGGTGGCTGTCCATTAGTGGCAGAAATGAATCTCACCAAAATCCTATGATTTTCACTACAAACTGTATTATAAAAGAAAACTGACTTAAGAAAAAAATATACACCCCTATCAAAAAATGAGTAGAAGAGAGGAACAGAAACTTCCTTGAAGAAATACAAATGGCCAAAGGACACAAGAAAAAGAGCTTATATCACTACATTAATTATCAGGGAGATGCAAATCAAAACAATAATGAGATATCATCTCACATCACAGAGACTGGCACACACCAAAAAGAACAATCAGTGCTGGAGTGGATGAGGAGACAAAGGGATTCTCATTCATTGCTGGTGAAAATGCCAATTGATCTAGCTTTTGTGAAAGACAGAATGGACATTCCTCAAAAACCTAGAAATTGAGATTCCAGATGAACAGCAATACTACTCCTGGGAATAGACCCTAGTGGCCTAAAAACACACAGCAGAAATGTCATCTGCACACCTATGCTCACTGCAGCGCTATTCACAATAGCCAGAATCTGGAAACAACACAAGTATTAGAAAGAAGAGGACTGGATAAAGAAAGAAGTTATGTACATCTACACAATAAAACACTGTACCATTGTTATGAAAAATGAAGTCATGAAATTTACTTATACACGGATGAAAAAGGAGAATATCATGCTGAGTGAAATCAGTCAGAGGGAGAGGGACAGACACAGAATGACTGCACTCATTTGTGGGATATAAACAAACAACAGCAACAAAAAAAAGCATAGTATGTGAGTAATACCCAGAGACAGTAGAAATAAGGGCCAGGAGGACTGATCCACGGTAGGAAACCCGCCACCAAGAAGGAGGAGTGCAGTGAGGACAGAGAAGGAACCACCATGACAATGACAGTTGGAAATGATTGTGTACAACAACTGAAAGGAGATAAAGTGATATGCATGATACCCTTTCACAGTAACAGTATTGCAAACCACAGTGCCTAAATGGGACGGGGGAAGAAAGAAAGAGGAGGAGAGGGGGCGAGGGAATGAGGAGGTAAGGGGGGGAGAGAAAGGGAGAGAAAAATGGATGAGGGAAACTTGGGATATTGGTGGAGGGGAAGAAAATGTGCACTGGTGAAGGAGTATGTTGGAACACTATGATAAAATCAATCAGGCATGAATAACGTAGTAGCTGTATAAGTCACAGTGATTCAATAAAATTAAATTGAAAAAAGAAATAGAAGACAAGAGTACAGACTGATAAAAAAAGAAAACTGCCACCTGGGAATCTCTTTAATAGAAGTCTTTTACTATGAGATTATTAATGGAAGATAAAAACTAGAGTTTATATCATGTATGGGGAAGAAGTATTTCCAAATAGCTATTTGAACTAGTATTCTCTTTGAAAGGGTTAAATACTAAAGGACATGCATGTGTACATAGTATTTCATGTTCATAGAGCACAGGGGAAGAAAAAATTTAGACTTACCATTGGTAGACAATAAAAACTGAGCAGCATTTTTCTGGGGTAACCACCTAATTTTGTTGATCTTTTCTTCTATTTCTAAACTTTTCAAGTAGTCAAACTCTGGTTCATGGCTCTGAAAGGTGCTGTAAACATTATATTCTCCTCTGCTATGAGGCTGGATTTTGTTCTAAAATGAAAACAAAAAAATATTTGGAACAGTGTTTTGAGAAATATTTCACAATAATAAAATATGTAAACCAACTCTAACGAATCCTAAAGTTCTGGTTGACTTATCTCTATCCCATAGACATTTATCTTCCTAACCTGCTTGATAAATCGTAATTTAGCCTACCTACCCCGCATGTGCTCAGAATAGAATTAGCCAGCAACTACTAAAAACACCAAACACAAACCTTTTTTCTAGAAAAAGGAATGTGCTGAGTATCTAGTATGTGCTGCATGCCACACTGAAAGCGAAAGACCGTCTAGAGAGGATCAGTTATACACCCTCATGAGCCAGAGAGGCTGAAAGAGCTCCGCTGCCACCACAAGAAAAGTGCATCACATTGATCTAGGGGAAAAGTCAAAATGCAAAGGTTTCTGGGACACGTATTGCTTCCACATGTTCATAAAGTTGAAAAAGAACTACGTCAAGGACCAGCTACAGGATTCTCTGGAAGCTTTTCTAAAACACAAAATTGAAACTAGTATCCCGGCTCTGCCTGCCCGCAGCATCACAGCATCACCAGGCCCAAGTCTGTCACGGATCACGGGAGTGGCCCTTGGGGTCCTCTGGGATTGCCCTGACCCACTGGAATGAACAAAATAAAGCCTAATACTTAAAATTTTATGCAATAGACATCACAATAAGGATCATTAATTCCCTATGATAGCCTCAATAGTACAGTTGCATACTGATTTTTGAAATCCACGCAGACGTGGTAATTATCTAAAAACTAAAGATTAAATTTAAAAAGCTGGCTAGAAGTAACTGATAGAAGCACAGCTTTCTCTGCCCACTTTACAGTCAACTCTTTTTTTGTTTTCAGCCATACTTAGTGGTGCTTGGGAATAACTCCTGATTCACAGTGCTCAGTGTGTGGGGAGTGGAAGGGAGGGGAAGGCTGCTGCCACAGGCTGCTGCTGACTCAAACAGGGGTTCCCACATAATCCAGCCCTTTAAGTTATCTCCCCAGCCCTGAAGTCAATTCCTGGCCAGTTACCAAATGGTGTCCTCCTTTTCCCTATCTGGCATCTGCATGTAGACCATTTAACTGCTGAAAAATTCTAAGAGCTCCCATGTCATGGTCCCACCTGACCATGACCTCCCACTTCAAAACCACTACTAGGAACTTAGTTATTCATTATGTCCATATTAAGTAATAGCAAGCGTCACACCACAGGATCAAGTTAACTGCTTATCCTCATTTGGGTTTTGTATTTGGAACCATACCTGGCCACACTACTGAGGCTACTCCTTGCTTAGGGCTTTGCTCCCAGAAGGGCAGAGAGAACCATGCGCTGCTGGGGAAAGAACCCAGGGTTCCGGCATAAAAACCCGCCCACAGTGCTACCCTCACATTTCCCGATTAGTCTCTACATCAGCTTTCTTATAGTTCAAGTATAGGGCGCACTGGTGATTTATTGCACTTGGTACCAGGGTGTGCAAATAGGCGAAGATTTTGGGTAAGGAGATTAATTGTGAACTTCTTGAGTTAACACTAATTAATACCCTAACAAAGCGAGAATTATAACCATGATCAGAATGTATCTTTTAACTTACAATCAAATGGTCTGCAATCTTTCCATCAAAAAATATCAAAAGTCTAGTTCAAAAGGAAAATGTTTAAATGAAATATAATTATCACGCTCTCTAAAAAAAGAAACTACTGAATAATCACATCAGAAGTATGTTTGTTCCCACATCCCAGAAGCTTGGTGTGTATGATTGGTGATTCATAGCTGCAGCTTTATTTGGGTCTTCTGATACAGGCATCAATTATTTTTGAGTGAGTATGCAGATATTAAGAAGGAAAAGCCTTGGGGGCTGGAGAAATAGCACAGAGGGTAGGGCATTTGCCTTGCATGTGGCCGACCCAGGTTCAATTCTCAGCATCCCATATGGTCCCCACCGAGCACTGCCAGGAGTAATTCCTGAGTGCATGAGCCAGGAGTAGCCCCTGTGCATCGCCAGGTGTGACCCAAAAAGGAAAAAAAAGAGAGAGAGAAAGAGAAGAAGGAGGAAAAGCCTGGGTCCAAGAGGAAGTACAATGAGAAAGGCACTAGCCGTGCACGTGCCCAACTCAGGTCTGATCACCGATTAGCAGGAGTAATCCCGAGGCACAGAGCCAGGTAAGCCCTGAGCACCACCAGGCATGGTATAAAAAAATGAAAATAAGCAATAAAAAGAATGTAGATGATTCCACAGAACATAATCACTACTGGGAGTATAGAAAGAATAAAAACAAAAACTCAGGACCATACTCATCATGTTGATTAATCCATTAGATACATACATGCACTAGTACTTTAGAAATTCCATAAATTTTCCATCTGATTTGGTCTCAAAACATTGTGATCATACTCTCCAAGGAAACTCTAATAGTTCAATTTTTATTTTTTAATTTTATTGACATATCATAATTTACAATAATATTACTCTTATTCTTAGACTGGTACCAATGGTACCACATTCAATACCAGAGTTACAATCTCTCCACTACTGTCTGCTGGATCCCTTCTTGATACCCATTTGAAAGTCTTTTTTTCAGTTCCATTCTTATCTCAGAATTTTGTTTCCAAGAAGTGGTTCTTTTGTTTTCTTTTGTGCCACACTCAGCAGTACTCAGGGCTTACTCTTGACGCTGCACTCTGGGATCACTCCTGGCACTGCTGGAGGTTGGGGGCTTAAGGGTTGGGGGGGGAAGAGAAGGAACGACCATATGGGATGCTGTAGATCATACACAGGTTGGCTGTGTACAAGGAAAACGCCCTACACACTATACTACTGCTTTAGTCCGATAATGGTTCACTTTTAATAATAAAGGTTGTTTTACATTGAAGCTTGAGACTATCATATTTATATGCTAGGAGTTATACAGGAAATCTCTTAAGAATTTCTATATGTATAAAGAGCAGGAAAGGCATTGGCCTTGCACACGGCTGATGCAGATTCAATCCCCAGCACCCCGTGTGGTCCCCTGAGCACCACTGGATATGGCCACCCCGCCACCCCCCAAAGAATTCCTACTTGTGGAAATGCAATTTTCATTTTTTATTTTTGGGCACACTCAGCAGTATTTGGGGACTAGTCCTGGCATGGTACTTTGGGGGACCAGGTCCTACCAGAAATGACACCTGGGGCTATACTACTGAGAAATATGCACTCCTTAAAGCCATTTCCCTAGCCATCTTAAGCCATTTCTCTATGTGCTAAACTCAGTCAAAAGTAGAAACTAAGTCAGGTAAACAATTTAAAGAATCAGAGATGAGCACATATCAATCGATATGCAAAACCCAGGGTTAAGAGGACCTTTCCGTGTGACCCAACCCTCCCCTCTCCCTTGCAAACAAACAGCCAGGGTTGGGTCCCTCTGGTCCATATTTATATTTGATGATGAGTGAAGAAGAGCAAAACCAAGGAAGTACTTCTGAAACAGACAGGAACATTGTATCTTAAAAATTCAAGAACAACTACAAGTTTATACATGATCTATTATATATAATTCAACCACAAATTCATGGAGATGTTAGTCTCAAAGGGTTTCAAGAAGCACTGCTTACTTACAATAGGAAAAAAGTAGCACTAAGACAAAGTCATAGCTAAAAGAGCAAAGATACCATGTATTGTCATCAACTCTCTTCTGCAACTTCACTACCTTCACACAGAAATTTTTATTTCCAGTAAATAAACTTAAAAAAAAAAAGCTATATCAACAAAAACAAGAGTAAGGGCAGAGATTGCAGCAACAGTAACAAACTAAAGGCCATAAAACAGATGAAGGTTGAAGAGACAGTCCAGGAGGTAAAGGACTTGTCTTACATGTGGTTGAGAATCCTGGTTCAATCTCCCAGGATCAAACAGTATCCCCCGTCCCTCAAGCAGGAATAGAAACAGACCCTCAGCATGAAGGGATTTGTTCCCAAAACAAGCAAGCAAGCAAGCAAAGCAAGCAAGCAAACAAAACAGCACTGATACAGAAGGGTCAGAGATACAGAACAGGGGTCAAGGTGCTTGCCTTGTACACAGCCAACCCCAGTTCAATCCCGGCACTGCATGTCGTCCTCAAAGTATACCCGACCTCACCACGGAACCTGGAGTAAGACCTAATCATTGCCAGGTGGGGAGTGGGAGAGGATGAGGGACAGAGATAGACCGGATATGAGCGTTTAAGAGCTGGACTGTCAGCAGAGAGTTCCTAAACGTTGCTGAAGTGTTTACGTCAGAATGATCAGATCAGCATTGCATTCTGTATCAACAATGAGCAAACATAAAAGGGAAACACAGTCCTCATGTCCTCAATACAATACAAACTGCATGTCAAAGGATTTTGTTTTTGTTTTAGACACTCTCCTACAATCATACAGAACTGCACACTCTAAACTGCCTTGTGCTTACTTTATTTCACATGGCTTCCTGCATCTTCTTTTTGGGGATGAGGGTGGGGTAGGTTACACCAAGAGGTGCTCATGAGACCCTGTGCAGTTGCCAGGGATCAAACCTGGGTTGGCATGTAAGGCAAGTGCCCTACACAGTAGTATTATCTCTAAGGCCCTTGCATCCACCTTTTTTTCTTAATCTGCCTTAATAATCTGAGAAAATCTATTTTCTTAACCACACAATTTGTATGCAACAGTCTACAATAAATTTGGAAGTGTTTTATCTCAAATACATTTAGAATCCCTAGCACATACGCACATTCAATAAAGACTTTCTAAATAATAAACGTAAGAATAAAAGGTGTTGATATCATAAAAAGAGGTTGGAACTGAGGTCAGAGTTATAGTACACAGGGCCTGCCCGGGTTCTATCCCTGGCACCCCATAAGGTGGCCCAAGACCGCCAAAAGTGATCCCTGAATACAGTCAGGAGTAAGCACTGAGCACCAGCGGGCATGGACCATTTCCCCCCTGCACCCCACCCCCCACACACGATAAGGTTAAAACCAACTCCAAGGACAGGGTAGG